GGCCCAAAGACTGAGAAGATTGATAGCTCTTACATCTATAGCCCATGTGTGGTTCAGTTGGGAACAAAATCTGCCCATTTATTTCTTTTCTAGATCTCAATTTATACATTAGATACGTCTTATTTCCATGTCCTCTAAGAACAATTCTATGTTGTAATATACTCTACTTATACTGTCATAATTGCATTAGAATTTTATGATACTTGGATTACTTAAACCTCTTGAGTTCCCTTATTGTCCCCATCTTTTCTTCTGTACACATTTACCATCTTTTTCCTCTTCTTTCTCCACTCATTTCAGTTTATTCTTTACAATACTTTTTGTTTTCCATTACATTTGATATACTATCTTCTTTAGGAAGCTTTACTTGAGTGTAAGATAAGTTATCCTCTGTGGTATTTTTGCTATGATAGCTAAAATGTTACATATAAAAGATAATATTTTTCTTTAGGTTCCATTCTGTATTGTTCTGTATGATACTTTGTAATAGTTATAGTTTGAGAATTGGAATTAGGGAATCAGGTATTCTCTTTAAATTCAAAAAAATCATTTATTTGATATTTTCTACTCTGTTTTATTATAAAAGTCTCTGCAGGACAGAGAGCTTTCATTTAATAGTTTTGAGCATTGGGCAGCTTATTTTAGTATAATTAGCATACTTAGTGTTACTTGATGTTTGTTCAATCAGTTTTAGGCTAGTAGAAGAATGATTCATGTACACTTAAAGCTGTTATTCAAAGTAGAAATGATAAAGCCTTAAAGTTAATTGGCCCTCCTTATGGTTCCATAGTGACCTGTACTTAATCTTTCATAGCAATGACACCGTATTATTATTGCCTCTAGTTTATCTCTGATTTAGTCTACAAACTAGATTTTTGGGGGAGGAGTATTGGGGATTGAGCCCAGGGCCTCACACTGAGCAACATCCTAACCTCGATATATATATTTTGAGACAGGGTCTTGCAAAGTTGCCCAGCCTCGACTCAAACTTTCAATCCTCTTGTCTCAGCTTCCCAAGTGACTGGGATTACAGCCACTGTAATCCCACTACACTGTCTTAGAGTAGTGGTTCTTCATAGATGTGGTGGTGATACAGGATAGGGCTTGTGCATTTTGGAAAACCTTCCCAGCTTTCTGGGTACATTGCACCACCACCATCACTGCTGCTGTTCTTATTTTGCAAGCTTCCAGGCTCATCTCTAAACTCTTAGAAGATGGGGAATTATATCTTATTTATCATTTTATCTCCAATGCTTAGCTTTTCTCCCCCTTTTTTGCCTCTGTGCCTAGTAAGTATGCAATAAGTATTTACTTCCTGTAGTAAAACTAGAAGTTTAGAAATGGAGACATCATTTTTGACAACATTGAAGACTTCATTTAAACAGGGTCATTTAAGAAGAGATATGAAAAAATAACTGGTTTTGTAGAAGTAGATGAAAGCATTTCAGACAAGAAAGAAGGATGAGCAAAAGCAGAGTCAGGAAACTATGGACATATTTCAGAAATACTTGGGCAAAAATCATAATAAGGTATATAAAGTGGAAGAAAGCCTACTGAGTTTGCCTGTGCTGGATCAAATTATAAAGACCCTGTATACAATTGTATGGAATTTGAACTTCATATGTAAGTGGGAAGGAACCATTGGAAATTTTCTTGGCATAACTTGATTCACCTGTCAGCAACTTAAAAGAGAAAGTGGAGATAGGGATATCAATGAAAATTAGGACGCTAAGTGCAATTAAAGTCTAAATTAGGGTGACAGAGAAGAAAGAGAGTTCATGACAGAGATATTTTAAAGGTAACATCAACAAGCCTTGGCCTCTCTTTTTAAAAGTGTCACATTAGTCATTTTTAAGTGGTTACATTATATTCCTAATGAAGAGATGGTGCTAGTAAAAAGAACATTTTGACAGGCTAATATTCTTCCTTTGCAGTTCATGTGCCTGAGCACTTACAGTACAAAAATAATGAAGTAAAATTAATTGGATATCATCTTAATAAAAAAGTTTTGATAATATATTTTAGAGGTTTATTTCATATAAGAATTAATTATAAACTAGAGATATGTTCCAAGAACAAGAAGATATTATTTTGGACTCTATTTCTGTAGCGGCTTGTATAGGCCTTTCCTATTTAATAATTGGGCTTGAAGAGGCTGAGTGATGGCTTAGTCTGAATGCCACTTTAGATTTCATTAGGTATCAATATACAATTCATTAATGTGCTCCTATTTAATACAAGTATAAGAAATCCTATGAACTGCCCTTATCAGAGTATTTAATAATATTAGCTGGTTTTAGCTTACTGCAAAAACTAATACCATCATTAGTATTGAGATATGATGCTAGTCTTCACAGATTTAGGAGAGAAAGGCATGATTTATTCCATTTTCTTTACTTCATATAAATTATATGTAGATCATGTGTATATTTCACATCACTGTTGATATCATTTCTCCTGTGTAGTGTTGACCTTCTATAGTTTCTTACAATATTTGCCTGTAAAGGCTGTAGTTCTGTAAATTCATTTGAATTGTTTTACGAGTTTCAGATGGCAAAGTAAAGAAATTGTGCCTTCTTTTATCTGAAATTACCCTGAGATAACATGGAAAATGAAAGACAGATATAATTAATCTTTTCTGAGAGAAGACCTGTAACCCCAAATAAATATTTGAGAAATGGCTCCCCAAAATAGGCAAAAAGAGGTGAAAAAGAATCCTCATAGAAAGAGGTCTTAGATAAAACTTGTAGATCAGAGAGAGATAGATCTGTTTACAGTGGGATCAGGAGATCTAGGAAGTCAGTGGGAACTTCTTTGAATTGGTTGGCGAGATGATCTAGCAAGAAAGGAAGAGAGAATGAGATCACACACACATTATCTTTGGAGATAGCACCCTCTTGCTGAGACAGAATAGAGAAATTTTGAATGGACCTTTGCTGTCTGTCTGCTTCTGACTTTTGGAAGAAGTAATGTTTAAATAGCTTTCTAGTTTGTTCTCACATACATTCTTTCTCATGAACACATATGTACAAAACATTCTTTGAGAAAGAGCTTTTTTATATACCAGAGAGATTACCTTCTAGTCTAGAACACAGCCTTGTTTTGTTCTTCCACAGTATTTCTGCAAATAACTGATCAAGGGAGAGCTCATTCAAGATAAATAATAAAAAGGAAATGAGCACAGTACACAAACACACTACAAGAAGAAAAGAGAAAGAGGGAAAAACAAGTGACAATGAAACCATAAAAAACTATGCTGGCCTAAAACCAATTAATGAAACAATTAACGTCTTTAAAATAAAAGACAAAGTTAATTGATTTAAGAGCTAGAAAGAAGTAATAACAGTATATGATGAATCATAGTCTGGCAGACCTCAGGAAAGAAGAGAGACAAAAGAGAAACAAAGGCAACGTTGGAGGCAAAAAGGAAAATTAGCATGGTTGAAAACAGTAAAATATAATGATAGGCTTTACTAAAGTAGGATGACAGGCTTTTTGCAAGTTGAGCAAAGTGAAATATGAAAAGCGGTAAGACAAATGCTTAATTGTAGCTTGGGAAATAGAGAATGGAATGTTATAACAGAAAAATACTCAAATGTATATCATAAGAAAATTTTCCTCAAGAAAAATCTTTTTATTTTACAGATTAAAAATAGATACAAAGGGCCGGGGGATTTTGCTCAGTGGTTTCGCCGCCTGCTGCGCAAGCACAAGGACCCACCTGAGTTCGATCCCCGTTACCAAAAAAAAAAAAAAAACACAACCACATACAAAGGCTGAGGAAAACAATTAACAGTCATCAACATCATTAAATAATCTAGCTTAACAAAAATTGGATTTCATAGGTAAAGAATGTTTGCATCCTTTGCTCATCCCGTTAAAAAGATCAAATTAGGGCTGGGGATTTAGCTCAGTGGTTCCACTGCCTGCCTCACAAGTGCAAGGTCCTGAGTTTGGTCAAGGGAATATTTAGCATTACAGGACAATGGTACAAAGCTTTACGTTATCAAGTAAAATGAAGTATGATCTAGAAGCTAAACAGTCAGTTGACAACTATTTATGAATAGTGTAAAAACTCAAGTAGTACCCTTAAAGTTCTTTTTGATAAACTACAAAAGGTAAATATCAAATGAACAGAGGTAATGCAGCAGCAGGATTGTCAGGGAGGATTTTAGGAAAAACAGATTTGTAGTTATGGAGTAGAACTATTACACAGTAGAAGTAACTATTAAAAGGATTAAAAGAGGAAAGAATGCATAAACTTTAAATTTGCCAATGTCTTATAGCTGGAGAACAAAATACATTTATAAAGCTGGACACCATGTAGTAAGGGTGTTAGAATGTTAGAAGGAATAAAAGTAAACAGTAGAAACTCTAAATATATTATATTTAATCAGAATCAAGTATTAGACACATGTCTAGCATGCAGGAGGCCCTGGGTTCCACCCCCAGCATCCCCCTCCATCAAAAATTGGATAGGAGATTGGAAGAAGTAGTGTAACTATATTAAATATCCTAAAGAAATAATCAGAGATGGGACCTAGGATGAAAAAATAAAAGTTTATTTTTTATCATGGCATTCTTTATACTTTCAAAAAGCTGAAAACATACATGGGCTATTTTTAAAAACTGACTGCATCCTAGATCACACACACACACACACACACACACACACACACGCACACACGCGCAGAGTCTCAAAAAACTACGTAGAGCTATCATGCAGACTATGTCTCTTGATCAAAAATGTTTTCAGTTTCTTGGTCCACAGTCTGGTTCTTGGTGTGGTCCACAACTGCAGGATCACCTATGAACTTATCAGAAATGCCCATTCATAGATTCTACACCAGATCTGTGGAAGCTTTGGAGAAGCCCCTCCTCTTCTTGGTCAAAATGTTCTGTGGAACATTAGATAACTTTTTCTTTCTGCTGTTGCTGATCTTAGATGTAAAAATTTGAAATAATTTTTGGCCCTTCAGAAATATGTTTTTGTCCACAGAAAACAAGCTTATCTTCCTATCCAAAAAGATGAAAATAACTGGGTTACTCACAAAAGATAACCAAGTGAAGACCACTGACTAATGAGTAGAATCAGTAAGAACGTGATTTTGGCCCTTTTCACATTGACAAGTTCTGCATTTCTGCTGTTTCAGTTGTACTACTACAAGCACTATTTATCAACAAAGGTAATTTTTTTCCTTTCTTATCATTTGACTTTGTTTTAGCTGTATATTATCTTAACATACTTCTTGTTTGCAATACATGAAATTAATCATTTTTTCAATTTTGCAGAAATATTTCTTACTGAGATTCTCATCTTTGTTGAATGTGGCATGCAATTCAAAAGTGCAGTTGAATGTTTTTGTAATTATACACTAAAGTTCAGAGTCCCACGTTTCAGTACCATTTAAGCTATTGAAATTTTCTGATTTTAATGCAGAATTGTTATTCTGCCTAACAGACAATACCTTGGTATTCTGCTAAAGAGATAGTCATTCACTTAAATGAATTTAATAACAAATAAATTTGATATGATACTAGAATTAGTTTGTTACTGTAATTTGTATTTTAATTAGAATCTACTAGGGAATAGTAATAGTATAACTTACCTTTATCAGTATCTATAATAATAACTAGAGACAATGGTTTAGAAACTTTCTTCTAGTAGTAAATGCCTGAAGTACTTTAGTGAGAATCACTACAAAGTCTCTCACAATCTTCAGGAAAGATTATCCTAAAGTCTGTCATTGGTTCAGGGAAAAAGAATATTTGCTTAGTGTGATGACTTGTGTCTAGATGTCCCCCAAAGCCTTATGCAGTCTGATAGGGCTTTCTCAGAGATGGCTGAATCTAGAGCATGTGATTGATTTATCGTGCAGTGCTAGGATTAAGGGTGAGTGATTTCTAAATCAGTCACTGGTTGGTTTGGCATCACCCTAATCCCAGTAGCCTAGATACAGTGTAAGAAACAGAAAGAGAGTTGTCTTGTCTCTTGCTTGCCTTGCTACCTTCTGCCCACCATGAAGTGTTTCTCCTCAGAAATGCCTGTCTACCATTCCACCTTGCCTTGGAGCCAACTGATTACGCACTGAAACCTCTAAAAACTGAGATAAATAAGCCTTTCCCCCTTTAACTTTGGGTTTCAGATATTTTGTCTCAGAAGTGAGAGAAAAGTAACTAAAATACATAGTATTAATGTGTCCTACTTATTAGTGTGTTTAGGGCCTTAGCATAGTTCCTTTTGTTACTACCTGGCTAGACAAAGTTAGCTTTTCAGTGATCCACTAAATGAGGTCTGAATAATCTAATATACAGTATCTGTTGGGTCTGCTAAAATCCCATAGGTGAATAGAGTTGACTTTTCAAATTTCAGAACAACTCTTCAGGTCTGTAATATAAGCTCTTGTGAGCCCTGTGAGCCTTTTCTATGGGCTTCAGCTTTCAATATAAATATTCTTCAATTTATGATGGTTTTATGTTCTGATAAACCCATGACAAGTTGGAAATACTGCAGATCAAGAATGTATGTATTTATTATGCCTGACCTACTGAACACTATAGTTTAGAAAAGTACTCTTTAGAATAACAGCTGTGTACCTGTGTGTTCATGCAGCCGACTGGGAACTATCTAGCATTGTGGGACTGTTGTACTACATGTTGCTAGATTACATATGAAGTACAGTTTCTCCTGAATGCATATCATTTTTGCAACATCATAAAGTCAAAGGGTTGTGAGTTGAACCATCATAAATTGGGATCCATTTGTAATCAGCTTGTAACTCACCGAAAAGGAAAAGACGTACCTCTAGGAAAGGACCTTCTAGGGAATGTTCAGTTGTTTATTTTTTACTGCACCCAACAGGATAGTATGATTATGATTCTTTATGCTGAATCTGTATTATTGATCATTTGTTATGTACCATGTACTTAGGAAAATAGATAAATAAGACAAAGGTCCCACTCTCAAGAAACCGATGATTTAATATACCTAGCAATAGCAATAATTCTTGAGTATGGGGGTCTAGATTGTTGCAAGTTCAAATCCTCATTTAATTGTTTGGCTTTCAACAAGTCCCTTAATCTCTCTGAACCTCAGTTTCTTTAAATGGGGCAACTTTGCCACTTGAGATAACGTGTGATACGTCTACCTTAGTATCTGATGCATTCTAGATACTCAGAAGATGCTAGCTATTGATATTATATGTTTTCTGCTTCTTTTAAGGGTTACATTAGTTTGATTAATAAAACTATATTCAATGATTATAGTGTCCTTAGAGCCTACATTTATCACTTCTTCATAAATGAGTTATCTGTGGCCCAATTATAGCTTCTTGCTCATAATTACCAAGTCCCAATTCTAAAACTTATGTGTTCACTCAAAGAGCTACTCTGACATGTAAATAAAAGATGTTCAAACAGAACATTGTAAGATTTATATGATATAAAATGAAATTTCTTTAAGGAATGCTGTAGCATAACAGAAAATGACAAAATATGGATACATAGGTGGAGGAAACCCAAAGCATTGTTTGTGTAAAGCACTGAGTGTTCCACACCTTATGTTTTTCTTGACTTACTTAAGATAAGTCACACTAGTCCCTGCAGTAATCAGCTGTTCTTATTACCTAGGAGGCCACTTATCAGGTTGTATGTTGAGATACCTTGCATTATTTTTAGTAACCTACGTGTGTTTGGTTAAGAAGAAGTTTTGGAGTTTGGATTTCAAGTTTGTCAATGATGATTCATAGTGAACAATTTCATATGCCATCATCAGAAATGGAAATTTAACTGAGTGTGGTGGTCCACGCCTATAATCCCAGCATTCTTGTAGTTGAGCTAAGGGGATTGCAAGTTCAAGTCCTACATGGGTAACTTAGTGAGACCCTGTCACAAAATTAAAAAAATTTTTTTAAGGGGTGGGGATGCAGGTAAGTAATAGAGGACCCCTGGGTTCAATCCCCCAGTACCAGAAGGGGAAAAAAAGAAAACTAATCTTGTAGCCATTTTTAGCCTATGGGCAACAAAACCTTTTCGAAATATTCTTAGTTGGTAAGGTACTTAATAAAATTATGCAAGAAATGTGTTTTTCCCTTGATCTTTGACTGTTGGCTCATCCCATTTTGCTCTGAAGAATAACATATAGCTGTTTTCTGGAAGAATGTTATATTTGATAGTTTGATTTAATATGGCAATCTTTGATAAATACTACTGCCCCTCCTTCCTGTCCCCTCCCACTTTTGTCATTATCCTGGAGAAATGTGAAATAATATATTTAATTAGAATTAAAGCATATTTTTTATCCTTTCATTTATTTTCAGGTTTTAGACTGTGTAAGTTTTCTGGTCAACTTTGATTATTTAACAAACATAACTTTTTCAGCATTACTTATTACATTTATGAATCTATTCCATTAAATATTTCAGTGGCTTAGGAATAAATAGAAGAATAATGTTTCTACTAGAATGAGGCACTGAGGGGCAGAAGGGGAATGCTGGCTACCTGAAGGTTTAAAGATTTGTGGTGTTTCTAATCCTTAGGTTTACACATTTATAAACAATTAGAAAAAAACTAGTTACTGAAGACTTCTTTAAAAAGTATTACTATTTGATTCTGTGTGGGGATACTTAAAGATCATACAAATTAAGGATTTGACTTTTTTATTTCTTTTTCTTTGGTACCGGGGATCAAACTCTGGTCCTTATACTTGCGAGGCAGGCGGCATAACCACTGAGCTAAATTCCCAGCCTGGCTTTTTGATTTCTTAAGAAACTGGTTGTTGGAAGCTCAGCCAGTCCCAGCACCTGGAAGGAAGCTCCCCCCTCCATCCCAGGCTCCTAGGACAGAGAAGCTCAGCCGGTCCCAGCATCTGGAAGGAAGCTCCCTGCCTCCATCCCAGGCTCTTAGGGCAGAGAAGCTCAGCTGGTCCCAGCACCTGGAAGGAAGCTCCCCGCCTCCATCCCAGGCTCCTAGGGCAGAGAAGCTCAGCAGGTCCCAGCACCCGGAAGGAAGCTCCCTGCCTCCATCACAGGCTCCTAGGGCAGAGAAGCTCAGCAG